ATATGATAGAGAATAGCAGTCCCTGTGTATATGATAGAGAATAGCAGCCCCTGTGTATATTATAGAGAATAGCAGTCCCTGTGTATATTATAGAGAACAGCAGTCCCTGGGATATTATAGAGAATAGCAGTCCGAATGTATATTATACAGAATAGCAGCCCCTGTATATATTATAGAGAATAATAGTTCCTGTGTATATTACAGAGAATAGCAGTCCGAATGTATATTATACAGAATAGCAGCCCCTGTGTATATTATAGAGAATAGCAGTTGCTAAGTATATTATAGAGATTACTGTCCCAGTCTATTGTATACTGAATAGCAGCCCCTGTGTACATTATTGGTGGCTTCACTTGCATGGAAAAGTATGGTAAAAGTTAAAAAGGAGAAGTGCTCCCCAGAGGATAAAATTTCCAGAACACCTAATAGGACAGAGAGAATGGAAAAAGCCAAGATTCTAACTTCAGGGTCAGCAGATAGACTGGGAAGATCAGGTTGGTAGTGGATCTCAAGAAAACAAATGTGTGGAATATCTACGAGATAGTCTTTAGGAGCAGCTTGTGGTAGAGACCGCTAGGGGACAGGCAGTTCTGGATTTGGTGATGTGGAAGGAGGCAAAGTTGATTTGGACGTTGGGAGGCAGGTGACCATAATAGGATAGAATTTACCCTGCAGTTTGAGAGAGAGAGAAGGTGGAATCAGATGTAGCAGCATTACAATTGAGTAAAGACATGAGGGAGGGAAGAGCTGGGCAGAGTTGATTGGAAGGGGAGCGTAGTTGGTGGAACATCAGTGGTGGGTGTGTCTGGCGGTAATTTGGGGGATACAGCAGAAACTCATCCCAAGGAAGAAGAACCAGACGAAGGGGAGGATGAGGCAACAGTGGCTGACGAGGGAGATCAGGGTCAGCACAAAAGGAAAAGGGAAAGTATACAATGTGGTGAAGGGTAGTAGGAAGCTTTAAAAATCAGCAGTGGGTAACTAAAACAAGCATCAAGTGGGGAGTGAAAAGATGAAATGTGAGAGTAAGCTAGCTAGTAATATAAAAGAAGATTACAAGAGTTTTTTTAGACATGTAAAAGGTAAGATTGAGGCAGGAGAAAACATTGGACCGTTCGAAAATGAAGCTGGAGAAGTAGTAATGGGGAGCAAAGAAATGGCTGAGGAACTGAATAGGTACTTTGTATTAGTTTTCACAGCGGGAGACTCCAGCAACATACCAGAACTTCAAGGGAGTCGGGGGTGGGGTGTGGGGGGGTGCAGAGGTGGCTGAGGAGGTGGTGCTGGGGAAGCTGAAAGGTTTGAAGAGGGATACATCACCCAGACCAGATGGACTATAGCCCAGAGTTTTGGAGGACGTAGCTGAGGAGATTGTGGAGGTATTGGTAGTGATCCTTAAGGAATCCCTGGAGGCAGGGAGGGTCCCAGAGAACTGGAAAATGACTAATATAACACCTCTGTTTAAGACGGGAGGGAGACAGAAACAGAAAGCTATAGGTCACTCGCCCTGACCTCAGTCATAGGCTCTAAATTCTTACCAATTATCAAGGATGAGTTTGCGGAGTGCTCGGGAGCACATGGTAAAATAGGGCTGAGTCAACATGGCTTTGTGATCAATGGGAGGTCATGCCTGACAGACCTGATAGAATTCTTTGAGGAGGTAACGAGCAAGTCAGACAAAGGAGAGCCAGTGGACGGGATTTATTTGGATTTCCAGAAGGCCTTTGACAAGGTGCCGCACAGGAGGCTGCTCAATAAGATAAGAGCCCAAGGTGTTAGGGGCAAGGTACTGGCAGAAGGCAGAGCGTGGGGATAACGGGGTCTTTTTCAGGGTGGTATCCAGTGACTAGCAGTGTTCTGCAGGGCTCTGTGTTGGGACCACAAATATTCACGTTACACATTAATGATCTGGAGAAGGAATTGAGCGCATTGTTGCTCAGCTTGCAGATGACACCAAGATAAATGGAGGGCCAGGTCATGTTGAGGAAGCAGGGAGGCTACAGAAGGATTTGGACAGACTAGGTGAGTGGGTAAAGAAGTGGCGGATGGAAATACAATATGAGAAAGTGTGAGGTTATCGACTTTGGCAGAAGAAGAGAGGGGTAGACTATTTTCTAAATGCCTCACTCTGAAATCATGCAGCCATTCTGGTAAATTCCTGTTTTTCAAAACAGTTCTTCCCCATTGAGTCCATGGTTTTGAAAGATGCAAAACTGAAAGGATGCGGTTCTTACACTTGTAGAGAATATCAGACATTGCGTATCGTATAGAGAATAGGAGTCAGCATGGATAAAGTCATGATTTTAAAATATAGCACCATGCAGAATAATGGATCCTGCGTATCTAATGTCAATTAATTTGTTCTCATTTCCTCCCACCCCTCCCACCATGGCTTTTTTCACTCTAATTCTTTGTTTGCTTTCTAATTGGTTTGCATTGGTTCCTTCTCTGTGTCCACCCTCTGTTTCTGTCTGTGTCTCTCCCCACTTCCCCCCCCATCTCTGTTTGCTTTCTGTCTGTCTCCCCTCCCTCCATCCCTCTGTCTCTCTTTCTGTCTCTCCCTCACCTCCCTGTTTCTCTCTCCTCCCTTGCTCTGTTCTCATTGTCTCAACTCTTCCCGCGTCATTATCCGATTCACCATCAATTCCAAACCACCCCCCCCCCACCACCGACACTATCTGTTTCTCTGACCCCTTTCCTCTTTCACTTGCGCTCCTGTTCCCACTCCCTTGCTGCCTGGCACAGCATTCGCCAGTCTGATAGCCATACTGTGGGAACCTTCAAGCAGCAGCTCCGTCAACCCCATCCATTTCCAACAGAAATTCCAGAAGTTTGTCCCGCATTTTGCAGGATACAGGTGAGTCCCGTCAGTGCCCGGCAGCCCTCGTTCTCTCCTCACTCCCGAAAGCACCACCACCACCGCGCTCCATCACCAGCCCCGCCCCCCGCCCGCCCGCCCCAGCCCACTGCCCCTGACTGTTGTGTTCCTGGCCCCTGTTGCATGGAGCGAGGTGATGATATCCCAGAAGGAGGTTATCTTTCCCATCGCGTCTGTCCTCGTTCTCCAGACAACCCGTTGTTTCTTTTGCCACTTGCCACTGGTTCTCAATCTGTTTGGTGCTGAGAGCTCCCTGTCTCCTCTGCCCAGATCCCTCGTGATGCTGAACATCTTGGATATACCTCCCGCCCGGCTTCCCAGGTCCTCCCAAGCCTCTCCACTTGGCCACCGAACTTCCTCATCCCCAGCACCGTTCTCATCAATCTTTCCTGCAGTCCCTCTGATGCCCGCGTGTCCTTCCTGAAGCGTGAGCTGGGAAATGGACACAGTGCTCCAGCAGAGGTCAAGACAAGTGTTTTACATCCCTGACTGTGTCCTCTTTTTACCGTCCTCTTGATAAAGGCTGTATTCTTCATGAACTGCGCTCTCAACTTTCTTAGGGTCGTACAACACGGAAACAGACCCTTTGGCCCAACCAGTCTGTGCCGACCATAATCCCCAAACTAAACTAGTCCCACCTGCCTGCTCCTGGCCCATATCCCTCCAAACCTTTCCTATTCATGTACTTATCCAAATGTCTTTTAAACGTTGTAACTGTGCCCACATCCACCACTTTCTCAAGAAGTTCATTCCACACGCGAACCACCTTCGGTACAAAAAAATTTGCCTCTCATGTCTTTTTTAAATCTCTCTCCTCTCGCCTTAAAAGTATGTCCCCTAGTCTTGAAATGCCCCATCCTAGGGAAAACACACTAACCATGATTTTATAAACCTCTATAAGGTCACCTCTCAACCTCCTATGCTCCCGTGGAAAAAGTCCCAGCCTATCCAGCCCTTCTTTATAACACAAACCCTCCGTTCCAGGCAACATCTTGGTAAATCCCTTCTGACCCCTCTCCAGCTTAATAATGTCCTTCCTACAACAGGGAGACCAGAACTGGGCACAGTACTCCAGAAGAGATCTCACCAGCGTCCTGTACAATTTTAACATGAAATCTCAACTCTGTCACCTTCCTTGATTTATGTACAGTATCTCAGCCATTGCTTCGTCAGCCGCTTTAGAACTGCCGCCTTGATTTCATCCTGCCTTTGTTTATATTTCCCAACAAGATTCACACGCCTTTCCTCTTTCTCTTATCCTCCCTCCTCACCCTGCTCCATCTCTCTCTCTCTGTCTCTCACTCAGCCAGCAGGATGCTCAAGAGTTTCTGCGCTTTCTGATGGATTGGCTCCACGTTGAAATTAACCGGAAACCACGGAAGACTCCGAACATCATGTCACTATCCGGGATCCGGGTGCCCTCTGACAATATGGAGAGGTTACGGTCAGCAGAGAAATAGTGTGACCCGCATCTTTGCCTGTCTGTCTGTCCCTGATTCCCTGTTTGTCAGATTCTCTCAGTCTCTCTCTCCCTCACTCAGTCTCTCTCCTACCATCTATCTCTCCCTCTCTGTCTGTTTCACTCTTCGTTTGTGTTGATCTTTGTCTCTGTCTGGTCCTCGCTGTCTCTGTCTGGTCCTCGCTATCTCAGTCTGATTTTGTCCCTCTTCCCCCCCCCCCACCCCCACCTCTCTCTCTCTCTCTCTGTGTCACTTGCCTTTTGACTCTCCCACTCTATCTCTCTCTTTTCATCTGTCTGTATCTGTATCTCTCCCTGTCCCCCTCTCTCTCCATCTGTGTCGGTTTTTCTTACACTCCCTCTGTCTTGTCCTCTTTATCTTTCTTCATCTGTCGTCGTCGTACATTTCCCCCTCTCCCTTTCTCTCCCGTTTTCTTTGTCTGTCATTGCATACTCTGCCCCTTTCCCTGTCTCTAGTTCTCGCTCTGTCCCCTGCACCATCACCAAACCCTGTCTTTCTCTATCTCTCTCTTTCTGTCAACACGTGAACTTTGTTTTTGTTCCTCAGTGATGATGAAAAATCGATGCAGATGTGGAAACGATACCTGGAGAGGGATGACAGTAAAATCGTAGGTAATTACATCCACTGTTTAAGTGTAAACCCCTACACTGTTCCCATCAAACGCTCCCAGGACAGGGACAGCACGGGGTTAGACACAGAGTAAAGCTTCCTCTACACTGTCCCCCATCAAACACTCCCAGGACAGGGACAGCACGGGGTTAGATACAGAGTAAAGCTCCCTCTACACTGTCTCCCCCATCAAACACTCCCAGGACAGGGACAGCACGGGGTTAGATACAGAATAAAACTCTCTCTACACTGTCCCCCATCAAACACTCCCGGGACAGGGACAGCACGGGGTTAGATACAGAGTAAAGCTTCCTCTACACTGCCCCCCATCGAACACTCCCAGGACAGGGACAGCACGGGGTTAGATACAGGGTCTGGGTGACATGCTGCCATTGACCTGTATTTGTCTCCGGGATCTGAGTGACTGTGGCTAGACCCAGCATTTATTGCCCGTTCCTAGTTGCATTGAGGACAGTGATGAGTCCATTTGCATCGCTCTGCCTCTGGATTGCGGTATGGGTTCAGTAAACAGATTTCCTTTTACCCAAACGACATCAGTGAACCAGATCGGTTTTACTACAATCAACTGTGGTTCCGCGGTCGGTGTCAGAGCAGGTATTTATTCCCGGGTTTTAACTGAATTCAGATTTCATCTGCGGTGGTCGAATTTGAACCCACGTTCCCCAGACCGCAAGCTGTCGCTCCAGATGACTAACCCTGTGCTGTTCCCAACGTCACTGCCTCTGCTCAATCTGGAGTCTCCAGCTGAAGCTGTGAGGTCAGACCTTGTTTAGGCAGCGTGGACTGTCCCTCCTTGTCCTCCGAAACCTCAGTCCTCCTGCTCCCCCCTCCCCGTGAAGCTGCCTGGCCTGCTGTGCTCCTCCAGCTCCATTGAATCTGCCACCCTTCACCTGCTCTGGCCTAGGGGCGACTCGGGTAGCATTGAGCTGCCCTCTGACATGCCGTTCGTGGGCAGGAGGTCGTTGGCGGGCTTGGGGTGGTGGGGGGGAGCGGTGTGGCAGAGGCGAATAGGCTGCGCAAAGGGTCTCTAATCGCTGCAGATTTCTGCCCAGATCTCTTTGTAGGTCAGCTGAACAGTACCCTTTGCTGCACCACCTGCGGTCACAAATCCACCACCTTCGAGGTCTTCTGTGACCTGTCGCTGCCAATCCCGAAGGTACGTTCGGTCTGTTTGGAGGGGGGTGGGGGTGGTGGGCGGTTGTGCCTCAGACTGACTCTGGTGTTCCTCCCAACCCTTACCCTCTGTTACAGAGACTGTCGATGACAGGCCGTGTCTCCCTGCTGGAATGTCTCAGTCTGTTCACCGCCGAAGAGGAGCTAGACACTGACAACGCGCCGGTAAAGACGTCGTGTGATGGCACTTGTTACCAAGCCCCCACTCCACTCACCACCCTCCCCCCACCCCCTACCCAACTGGTCCATTGGTCCATTGCTCCTCACAGCTCCAGCCATACCCAGCACCCTCCACCGCTCCGTCAATGCACCATCTCAACCCCCCACCCTGGGCAACATGTTGGCTCAGTGGGTTGGCATCGCTGCCGCACAGCGCCAGGGACCTGCGTTCGAACCACCACCGCCCCCCGCCTTAGGAGACTGTGCCCGTGTGGAATTTGCAAGTTCTCTGTGAAGACGTGCAGTTTAGGGTGGATTGGCCGTGCTAAATTGTCCCATAGTGCCGAGGGATGTGCAGATTAGGGTGGATTGGCTGTGCTAAATTGTCCCATAGTGCCGAGGGATGTGCAGATTAGGGTGGATTGGCCGTGCTAAATTGTCCCATAGTGTCCCAGGGATGTGCAGGTTAGGGTGGATTGGCCGTGCTAAATTGTCCCGTAGTGCCCAGGGATGTGCAGGTTAGGGTGGGTTTGCCATGGGAAATGCAGGTTTGCAGGGATAAGTGGTCCTGGGTGGGATGCTCTTCAAAGGGTCGGCATGGACGCAATGAGCTGAATGGCCTGCTACCACACTGTAGGGGTTCTCTGATATCTCTCCAGCGCTGTCTAGTAGCATGCAATATCCTCTACTTTCCTTACTACCCCTCATCCCCACCAAATCTACAGTTGCCTCCTTATCTCGCCAAACTGTAAGTGATCACACACGGCTGTCCTCGTTCTGTCACCGTGATGTGGATTTTCTGTTTGCAGGCATCACCGTTTGACTAACAGGTGCTAATATTTCCCCTGGAAACCATTTCCTGCATTCTGCTTCCCTACCTTGTTGAATCAAGGCATCACATTTATGATTTTCCAGCCAGGTCAGACCTTTCCCTTGGGAAATCTGGGCAGTTTGTCGACCAGTGCATCAGTACCACTGCAGTCATTTCTTTTTAATGACGCTTCTAGCATGAAGACCACCCATTCCAACTAAATTCTCAGCCTGGAATACTAATAGCACAGTATCACCATGCTGATTATCATTTTTCCAAATTTCATAGTATCCTTGCAGTGTGGGAACAGGCCTTTTGGCCCAACAAGTTCACACTGACCCTCACCTTATCCCACCCAGACCCATCCTGCATAACCGACACAATCCACACATCCCTGGGCACTATGGGCCAATTTAGCACGGCCAATCCACCCTAACCTATACATCCCTGGGCACTATGGGACAATTTAGCATGGCCAATCCACCCTAATCTGCGCATCTTTGGACTGTGAGAGGAAACCCACGCAGACACGGGGAGAATATGCAAACTCCACACAGACAGTCGCCCGAGGGTGGAATTGAACCCGGGTCCCTGGTGCTGTGAGGCAGCAGTGCCCTAAATTCTCCCTACACTGTTTGTTCCTGATTTGCAAGGACTTCTGATGGTCCACACTGTAATTTATAATGAAGTGGAGTGGTATGCTGTTTGATTGAAACCGATATCATTGTTTCGGAGGGTCAGTACTGAGGGAGGGCCGCACTGTTTGTGGCATTTTGTGGGAATCTATCCCTCTGACAGGAGTGATCTCTCTAGATGTGCGAGAGGTGTAACCAGAGGAAGAGAAGCACTAAGAAGCTGACGATCCAGAGATTCCCCAAGATCCTTGTTCTACGTATCCTTTACACAGTACTTGATCTATCAACCTGTCTGCTCATTCTCTCTAGGATTTCTTCTCTGTCTCTCACACAGCCTTTCGTTCTGTCTGTCCTTCACTTCTTCTGTCTTCCTACGTTTTACTTTCTGTACCTTGCTCATCTGTCTTTCATTCACTCTGATTCTCTCTGTTTCCTCTACGTCTCATTTATTGTTTTTCTACCCTTTCCTGTCTGTCTCTATTTGTGTCCCTTTTTATCTTTCTTTATCTGCCCCTCTCTCTCTGTCTCTGTGTCTGTCTCACCCCCTCTGTGTATATCTATATTTCTCCATCTATATCCCTTTCTTCCCTCACTCATTTTCTCTTTCTGTCATTCTTGATCATACTCTGTCTGTTTCTCTGCCTATCTCTCTCTGTCTCACTCATTCTCTCCCTCTGTCCATTACTGTTTTCTCTCTCTCTGTCATCACCTCGTTCTCTGTCTTGCCCTGTACCTCTCCAAAGATTATTCATTCTCCCTCTGTGTCCCTTTCTGTCTCTTGCTCATTCTCTCTTTTCCTGGCTTATTCTCTTCTGTGTTCCTATTTATTTCTCTCTCCTTTTCTTTCTGTCTGTCATTAATTCTCTTCATCTTTCTCTCTTCCCCACTTTACCTTTCAGTCTTTTCTTTCCCTCTTTATCTGTTCCGTGGCCCCTCTCGCTCGCTCTCTCTCTCTCTGTGTTTCATTCCCTCCCTTTTCTCTCGTGCTCCTTCCTCCTCTGCAATCTGAATTCCCAGTGACACTCCTTACCTCGCTGCCCAGACCTGAACCGATTCTCTTTCAGTCGCTATGCGATCAGAAAGTCTACCACTCACGTGGAGTTCCCGTTGTACGGGCTGAGTTTAAGGCAGTTTGCTGCCGACAACACAGGTGAGAGCGCTGGGCGTGTGTTGCTAAGCGGCGTGAGCCAGAACAAGCATCTGGGCCTCCCTGTGACCTCCCTGTGCTTTCTCTTTGTCCGTGCCCACCCCATCTCCCCAGGCAATCCTGTTTACGATCTCTATGCAGTATGTAACCACACAGGGACTGTGAACGGCGGCCACTACACAGCCTACTGCAAGTCCAGAGGAAGGTGGCACGTCTTCAATGATTCCAGGTTGGTACTGCGGCTCGGGCACAGGAAGACCCCAGGCTCTCTCGGGGGCAGGAGAGGGAGGTGACGGGTTGCTCTGGATATCGTGGCGTGCTAGCACGGCGTTGAGCAAAACAAACTGGTCTGCCTCCCCTCCATGTTTCCCGTCCCTTTCCCCCCAACGCTCAGTGTGGATCTTGACTTCGAATACGCTCAGTGGAATTCAGCTGTCCACTAGTTTGGGGCTTTCCAGCCGTTGGAGAAACCGCTTTGATCCTGTCAAACATCGAGCAAATTCCAATCAGCTTCCCTCTTCATTCTCCTAAAGTCCGTTCTCGTACACGATCTCCCCTCCTAGGACAGTCCCTTTCACCCCAGAAACTGGTATGGTGAACCTCCACTGCAACCCTTCCCTTGTCAGGGTAAGGTATGGACTTCCCGTGGAGAAACTCAGCAGGTCTGGTGGCATCTGTGGGGAAACAGAGAGACACAGAGTCCTTCAGAAGCAAACGGGGCAGGAAAGGGATAGTTTTCCTGTTGTTGACAAAAGGGGACAAGGGGTGTATCGGTGAGGATGCCCAGAGAGGAAGCCCAGGGGAGAGATAATAGTGGCAAAGGAGTGATTGTGAAGCAAAATAGGTGTTAATAAATGGAATACTGTCCTTCCTTGTGTAAGGCAAGCAAAAACTATACATGCAGTGCAGAGTCACTGATGGTCTCATAACCTTTTCAGCTGTTCTCCAGACACCAGCCCCACCCCGCCTTGACCCCTAACTTTGGTGGTAAGATTGGAAAGTAGAATTGTTTGCAAAAGGTGCAGCAGGCTTTGTAAGTGGGTGATGGTCAGAGATTGCTGGGTGTGCGCGTACAAGGAACCCAGAATGTTAGCAAGCAATGAGAAAACAAAACTATGTTGGGCTACATGCCAAACGGGTAAGGTACAGAGATAACTAATCGCGTGGAGTTTTGCTTTTTGTTTAATTCACTTGTGGGTGTCACTGCCTGGGCCAACATTTATTGCCCCTCTCCCTAGTTGCCCCCCTCGAGAAGGTGGGGGTGAGCTGCTTTCTTGAACCACTGCAGTCCATGTGCTATACTTAGACCCACAATGTCCCCTTAGGGAGGGAATTCCAGGATTGTGACCCAGCGACACTGAAGGAATGGCGATATATTTCCAAGTCAGGATGGGGAGTGGCTCGGAGGGGAACTTGCAGGGGGTGGGGGTCCCATGTATCTGCTGCCCTTGTCCTTCTAGATGGAAGTGGCCGTGGGTTTCAAAGGTGCTGCCTGAGGATCTTTGGTGAATTTCTGCAGAGCACCTTGTAGATGGTACACACTGCTGCGACTGAGCGTCGGTGGAGGGAGGGAGTGGGATGTTTGTGGATGTGGTGCCAATCTAGCGGGGGGCTGCCTTGTCCTGGATGGTGTTGAGCTTCTTGAGTGTTGTTGGGGCTGCCCCCATCCAGGGGCAAGTGGGGAGTATTCCATCCTACTCTTGACTTGTGCCTTGTAGATGGTGGGACAGGATTTGGGGGAGACAGGAGGGGAGTTACTCGCTGCAGGATTCCCAGCCTCTGACCTGCTCTTGTAGCCGCTGTGTTTATGTGGTGGGTCCAGTTGAGTTTCTGGTTAATGGTGACTCCCAGGATGCTGATAGTGGGGGGATTCAGTGATGGGAACACCATTGAATGTCAAGGGGCGGTGGTTAGATTGTCTCTTATTGGTGATGGGCATAGCCTGGCATTTGTGTGGCGCGAATGTCACTTGTCAGCCCAAGCCTGGATATTGTCCAGATCTTGTTGCATTTGAACATGGACTGCTTCAGTATCTGAGGAGTTACGAATGGTGCTGAACATTGTGCAATCATCGGCGAATATCCCCAATGTCTGAACTTATTGGTGGAGGGAAGGTCATTGATGAAGTAGCTGAAGACATTTTAAGGCCATGGTGAAGATTCTCGTTAAGCGAAGGGGGAGAAGGGGACTGCATAGACAGCAGTATGTTTACCCATGATCATATTGAGTGGCAGAGCAGTCTCGATGGGCTGAATGGCCTCCTGTTGCTCCTGGCTCTTGTAAGAGTGATTGGGTGGGGCATTGGGTGAGGAGAATGTTAAGCAGAGGAAGGAGGGGTTCGAACAAGGTTGGTGTGCGTAAGTATGGTTCTAATTCCTCTCTCTCTGTCTGTCTCCCCCCCTCTCTGTTTCCCCCCCCCATGTCTCCCCCCCTCTCTGTCTCCCCCCTCTCTCTCTGTTTC